TGGTTCAGTGGTAAAGAGTGCTTATACTCTTGCAGAGAACCCGAGTTCAGTTCCCTTCCTTGGGTGGCTCAAAACTGCCTGTAACTCCAGTTCCAGGGAGATCTGATGCCTCTGGCCTCCTCAGGCACATGAACTCACATGTACATACCCACACAAAGTCACATGCATACACATAATTAAAAATAATAAAAATAAATCTTTAAAAAATTCAGTCTCACCAGTCATTTGATAAAAGCAAATTAAAACTACACAGAGATCCCACCTCACTGCAGACAGAATGGTATAAGTCATTAAGAAAATTAATAACAGGGCTGAAGAGATGGCTCAGCTGTTCAGGGCATGGACTGTTTTTCCAGGGGACATGGGTTCAGTTCTCAGCATCTACATGGTGACTAACAACCATCTATCACTCCAGTTTCAGTGGAATCTGACGCCCTCTTCTGGACTGCACAGTCATTGCACACACAGGTACACATATACAAGCAGGCAAAACACTCATACACATAAAAATTGGTTTAAATTAAAGAAAAAAGAAAATAAATGACAATAAAGGCTACAGAGGTTGTAGACAAAAACAAATATTATATAGTATTGGTGAGAATGTAATGATTTATCCAAATCAACTATCACAAAGATACTTGCATGTTAATATTTGTTGCAGCACTATTCATGATTAAAAATAAGTTATGGAATCAGCCTATGCATCCACCAACAGAGGAATGGATAGAAAAAAATGTGATGTACATACACAATGGAGTTTTTTCAACCTTAAAGAGAACTGAGTTATGTTATCTGCATGAAAATGGATGCACCTGGAGATAAACATACTAAGCAAATTGAGTCAGTCTCAGAAAGAGAAAGATATTGTATTCTCTCATGTGTGGTTCCTAGATTTCACATGAATACATAAAAACATGTGTGTATAAATGACAGGAAAGTAGAAGCAAAACTGTCTAGGGGAGCAAAAGGGACTAATGAGAGGGGATGAGATAAGAAAAGGAAAGATGAGGGGACATGCACAATGTACAATATATACGTGTATGAAAATGTCCACGTGCAAAATAGTACCGTGTTATGATGAATATGCATGACAAAAAAAGCAAAAACTAAAGAAAAAGTGGCTTTAAGAAATAGGAAGAACTGGGGCTGGAGAGATGGCTCAGCAGGTAAGAGCCTGGGTGCTCAAGCAGAGAAACTGGGTTCAGTTCCCAGCACCTACATGGTGGCTAACTACCATTCATAACTCCAGTTCCACGGGATCCGACACCTTCTTCTGACCTCCATGAGCATTGCACGATACAGATGTACTTACACATATGCAGGCAATACACTCATACATATAAAAAATATTTTTTAAAGTAAGAAATAAGAAGAACTAAGTTTTAAACAAATGGATTGTAAATACTGAAAGAATAGCCTTGTTAAATAGCACTTAATACCACTTAAAGCATGAAAAGCCAAAAGCAAGAGGTCTGTTTGGTTAATTTGATGACTTTAAAAACAAAACCCATTCAACTCAGGTATTTAGCATTGTAAAACAGACTAAGCAGCTGATTGAGCAATCTATTTTCAACAAGTTCTGTGGATATCCTGCAAGCAAAGATTTGGTCTATGGACTATTGCCTTAAAGAGACAAAAGGGTGCCATCCGACAGGCAAAGTGGAGATGGTCACAGTGACCCAGCAACCTCTGTTCAAATTTTACCCATATTACAGTGCTCTTCCATTGGGTTGTGTTGAACAAGACCCACATCTACTTATTGTATTTTCTTCATCTTCTTTATCACTTCTTTGTGTAGCATTGGGCCATTTTTGGTGACAGACGCCACTATTACAATGTTGTCAAGGCCCTTCTTGTTTTTCTAGTTCAAATCCTTGTTCATGCTGTTTGCTAAGTACTTGTTCCTTGTGACAGCTTTCAGCCAAACAGAACACACTGAATGCTGTATTCCAAACCACTCTGTCCTGCTGGGCTCCAAGTAAAACAAGCTCTTCAAACTCCATCATGTGAACTTTTCACAAGGAACAATCTCCCTCAGACAATTCCATTCAGACATACTATCCGTGAAACTGGGTCTTCGGAAAAGGTGACATCACAGACTTCCCCCTCTGGCCAGGGTCATGACCACCAAAGTTGCCTTTAAGAGGCTCCCACGTGGTTTGGCACATGATTTTCTTAGCAATTTAACATTTCTCCACGTTCCCATAAGCTTCCAA